ACTACTACTACTACTACTACTACTACTACTACTACTACTACTACTACTACTACTACTACTACTTGCGACACCACTCCTTTTATTGGCTCATTTCCATGTTTTTGGCGCACTTTCATTTCTGACTTACATTTGAGCGGATGCATCCTGCGCTTGGCTAACTGCTTTCACTCTCCGAATACTGCACTGGATATGACTCCAGTGTATCCGCGCACTTGTCGCATTGACTCATCTAGCTTGGCCTCATCCAGTTCCCATAATGAGCTAGGCTGTCGGTATCCCTGTCGGGGGCTCTTGGTCACGCTGTGCTTCGGTCAGTTAGAGTGACTGGGAGAGCTTTTTCGCTTCCATCAAGCACGCGCTCGCTGGGATTTCCTGTGATACTTCGTTATCATGGTCAGACACACTGTCCGAAGAGTGAGGACCACGCTTGCTGGTCATTATTAGGCCTGTCCCGAAGTACATCAACATGTTCCTCGTACCCACTTGTTCTGTTGTTTTCCTGCCTCTAATACTGAAGGCTGTATTTTTTGCATGGTATCCCCTACCACCACCCCAACGAGTTTCATCAGTGTTCTGGCTGTCAGTATAATTAATCTGTTGGGCCAAATGAATTGCCGAATCTTGTGAACCACAAAAAGAGTGAATTTGTAAATGTCCGGTGCTTTGTTTCTCTCATTTTTGTGCTAGTGGGTCAGAAAAACACTAAAATAATGCAGTATTTGATCAAGGAGCAGTGTGCGTATCGTGTGCGAGAAAACGTGTTTGGTTGCAGTCGATGTTTCATCCCTTAGCTGTAAACACAGACCGTACGCAGCATTCGGGTTAGGAATGGGAATCATCAGTACAGCTCCCTAACGCCATATGTGCAATAAGCATGTATCAGACTACGTAAAGCTAAACTGGAAAGATGAGCGTGAAGAGGATATGAAGATGGGGAGGGAGTGGAGAGGACTTTTTTTTAAACGAGTAATTACCTTACTGAATTGCCTAGATTCCTCTTTTTTTTTTCGTAAAATTTGCTCTGACTTCGTCTAGAACTTGAAAGGGATGGCACACATACGCGTCGAATGGGTAGTGGGTACCAACTAGAACCATACATCCCTGAGATTAAAGGACATAGTATAGCTGCGCCTGGTGTATAAGAGCTCCCAACAGCATCACTAACATGAGATGCCTGCATCGTTTGTCCGGGCATTCTTACATCCTCGGTATTTCCAGTAACGGAGTTATTTGCCGGAAAAATACTCGGTTTTTATGCTTCTGGATTTTTCTTTTGACCGACTTTTCATTTAGATGAATGCCAAGACCAAAGCGTTTTTTCATATACCATAGAATGCTAACGCACCCACCCGAAAAATCGTGTATCTTTAGGTTTTTGAGCGAATGATCCACTTCTTCTAAGCCTACACCGTCTATCCACAATATTGTCTACTGTCTGGGAAAGGAGGGTGGGGAAGGGGCTTTCGGGAAAATCTTTAGTACAAAAACATTTGGTTTCTTTCACTTTATCACCAAGACAGATTATTGAGGGGATACTGCATCTATCTTGCGCTGTTTTATCACTTATTGCTTCATCGTTCCGGCCTTTCTGCCCCGGGGCACTTGGTTTATCGCTGTATATTAAGTTTCACTCCTTTCTGATCTTTTCACATTTCCTAATATTCAAGAAATTCATTCCCTACACAATTTACATTTATTTTATATTATTTTTTTATGCACATATAAACTCCAGAGGTGTTAAACTGACCAGGTTCATTTGTGTTTCTCTTATAGGGGAATGTTTATGACTTCATGAACCGAAACATTTCTTTCGAGTTAAAATTTCACTTTTTTTATACAAAAAATTTAATTTTCAAAATAGGTTCCCGTTCACATACATACATTAACAATCATTTGGAAAATTTCACTATAACAAAATTTGTGCGAATAATTTTGTGCAAAATTTGTGCTGTATGCTCCTTTCATCACTCTACTTATGTTCCCATCTTCTTCTAACTGTATATGCCTCGTGTTTCGCTCCGTTCGCGTTCCAGTAATTTGAGGGGGTTTTGGTGCAGGGTATCAATCGCTTTTACAGATTTCGGATACCGAATTATGAAGAAGGAGGCTGACAAGGCACCAGTGTCCGTGTTACTTGGTGCTCAATGGGGTGACGAGGGCAAAGGCAAAATTATTGACTACCTCATTGCCAAGGATAAGGTGATTTTTTCGGAAGAACAGTACTTTTTATTTCCCCCAATTTTTCAATTTTCTAAACGACCGAGCTAGTTACAGGAAGCTTTTTTTGGATGGGGTACGTTAACTTTCCTGTTTGTTTGCTCGAGTTTTCTGCATTCCCGTGGTACTTGGGCTGAGGCATGCCTCTTTGTCCAGTGACCCCTGTGTCCAGTAGCGGCTACTGCTTGGAATAGTGACCATTCAAGCTGACCATTGCTCCTTCCCATATTTGCCTCTCACTTGCCCAGATATATATATATGTTGATTTTTAACTTTAGATTTGACACTTGTTAGTCTGTTTGTTTATTTTTCTTGCTCATTTTTGCACATTTTGCGTTAAGATGCTGGTTTTTTCGGTGTTTTTTCCCCTCGCGCTAATAGCCTTGACATACTGACCTTATTTCTCGTCGATTCAAAAATGATGACTGTGGTACGGAACGAAAAGAGAGGGGAAGGAGGAGGAGGGCATGAAAACATTTCAACCTTCCTGCTCCCCGTTTCTGTCTCCTGTGTTTCCGTTCACCATTGGTTTTCTGTGCTTACCATTTGCTTATCAGTTATTTACGCATTGGTGCTGAACCACGTGCCACCATAAGAGATTTGTACGAAAAAATAGAAATGTCACATTGTTCTGATGATCTCCCAAATAAGCAAGCCTGTATGTAAGTTGAGCTGGTATCCTGTCTGTGTTTCAACACAGACGACAGAATTGATGTTAAATTTTGATCGATATTACTTGCATTCTCAGGAATACTGTCGCAGGAGGGTTTAAGTTCATCAGCCGCAAAGAACTACTTTTTCAAAATCTCACCTCATTGCATTCGTTTCGCGTTCAGAGCTTGAGTTATTAAATGAAATTGAACGCTGTATAAAGAGTAAAACCCGTTCCTGGTTTTTTTTTTTTTTTTTTCGTAGATTGTTCGGAATTTTTTTTACAGGTACAAGTTGTGGCACGTTGTCAGGGAGGGAACAATGCCGGACATACGGTCGTTGCAAATGGCCGAAAATACGATTTCCACATTATTCCATCAGGAATCATATCCGACAACTGTTTCAACATCATTGGTATAATTTTGTGCTTTATCAATTCTTCACTTTGTTGGAACTTCTGCTCTTCCATCAGATCTCTCTGTTGTCTTATTTAGCACCACAGGATGAAATCATTATCTGTTTTTTTTTTTTTTGCACTAGTGCAATGCATATTGTTGTCCGTGTATGTATGTGTGTGCGTGTGTGTGTACACACACACAGATTTCTGTTTGCAGACCTAAAATACTTGTGAAGCTGAAATTTTGGCAATTTAGTCCTTCATTACGTACAGAGCCCTCAGACGTATAAAATGAACTTTCATTTCCTCTTAGTTCTCAGTTTCAGTTGGACATGGGAAGCATACACCCCTAGCTGAGAAGAGGGCATTTTTTGCTCAGTAACCAGTTAAGGTCGCCAAAAACAAATAGATTTTTTGTTTTAGATTCTACCATAATCTGTTAAACAGATCGTAGATATACCCAAAAGTTATTGGTTCTCTGAAAAAATAAAGGTTCCAGAAATGAGAATATTGTGCAGTGTGCGCGGACCGTGTCCCTTCTATAGTAGACTGCCTTCGAATGGAAGCAGTAAACATAGCTCAAAAAATTCTCAAAAAATCGAGATTTCTCATCTCGTTGTTCCCGCATCTCTACTTCACCAGGTTTAATCCGTCTCTTCTAACATGATTTATACAATAGAACATTCAAAATTTGAGCATTTGATTTTTTCCCTGACGCATCCTTATTTGAAATGGAATTTCCCTTTTGCATTATCCTGTAGCAGACATGGGCAACCTCTGGCTGTGCACAGGCCTGATTCACATACTTACTTAAACTCGCCGGCCACCTTTTAATAAAACTCAAATAATAGCACACCAAGTTTACCCGTACGATCGTGTGTTTTTGTGCTAAATTTGACGCAGTCAGATCATTAATATTATGAATGATCCCAGAGCATTTTCCAGGCTGTCATCTGTTATCCTCCTTGCAAATTCTAGTTTTATTTATTTTCATGAGAGTGCAGAGGTTTGGCGGAATACAAACCTCTGTTCGTTTGGTTAGGCACCAAATTCCGATTCTCTTCGCGGACCGCCGATTGCCCACCCGTGTCCTGTAGCAAATTTTTAGTTTTAAGGGAGCTTTTCTTTGGAGAAGATGATTTTCATTTGTGTGATTATATGTTCAGGCAACGGTACAGTGGTCAATTTGGATTCATTTTTCCAAGAACTGACGCACAACAAGATAACAAGTTTACCAGGTTGGGAGGAACGCATACTGATCAGTGATCGAGCACACCTTGTATGTGGCATTCATATGCTCGTTGACGATTACTCGGAGGATAAGCTGAAAATCAAGTATGTTTTTTTAGCCATTTGTTTCATGTTTTCTGAGTGCCGGAAGGATGAAGCCAAGGTTTTTGTCCTTTGCAAGACAGCCTTACCATCTTTGCACATGATTTCCAGCATTTGTTGTGTACAGTAAGCTGGGAATCGATTTCAGCCGCATTTTCTAATGAATTTTTTTTTTTCAGTAAAATCGGGACAACGAAGCGTGGCATTGGCCCAACGTATTCCAGCAAGTGCTTCAGGAATGGGCTTAGAGTCGGCGATCTTGTCCACGATTTTTCTGCATTTTCCAAGAAGTACGGTTATGCCTTGTTCGAAGCACCATTTTTCACCTAAAATACTATTTAAATAGAAAGTTATAATAAGAAGGAATGAAATAAAGAGAGAAAAGGAAAAGGAAGCTAAGAAATGAAAATTAGAAAATACTTGAGCTTATTACAATGGTAAGAAGTGTTTCGGCCCATTAAATCTTATACATTTTTTTATCATTACCACAGTTAGACTTCATCAGTACGACAATTGTGGTAATTGAAGTCAGTGAAAGTTAGGGTAAAATTTCATGCATCTGCTTTTTCAGTGATTTTTATTAGTTGTATGAAA